GGGGGGGGAAGACCATTTGGTGGTGAGGGCTGAAGATGTGGAAGAGGGTTTTCATGCACCGTGACCGACAATATTGTGCTCCATCACTTGTTGAATAAGAGAGGATTCGAAGCCTTTGGAAACTCATGATCATCAGAGATGGGGAAGGGCTGATGCTCTTTGAGTGAGCGCGAAAGGAATGGGTGAAGTTAGTAAGAGAGGGGGTAAACATATGACAGCCAGAGATGAGGGGGAGAGAAAGAAAAGGTCGGTGTCCTCAGAATGAGGTGTTGTGAATTTGGAGAAGGGAGGTCGTGAGAGAACAAATAGAGCGAAAGAAAGGCAGGTGAAGGAGAAGGTTGGCGATATGAAAGGGAACGGAATGGTGGTGATGATCGGAGCAAATGATAGGGGGAGGAGTATCATTAGAGGTCTTGGGCTAAAGAAGGTGAGGTTTTAGTTTGGTCTACATATATGGATTCAGGTGAGAAAGAGAGTTAAGCTCAGAAGCCACATTAGTATGAAATGCACCTAGATGCACCAGATCAATCCTCCTATCAAACACGATTCATGGGTGGGTTTGAGATTAAAGGTGATCAAAAGTCTAGGTCCTTTCTTACGCTTCTCATTTTAACTCTCCTTCTCACACGATCATTTGCTATTACACCATTATAACTGTCTCATCAATTATTTTAAAATGAGTTTGATATTGAATATTTTTGAATTTAATCATATTACTATATAAAATAAATACTACAAATTTATTTTTAGTACATACATTTTAAACCCTTATAGTTATTTACTTAATTTGTTTTATAGACTTCAAATTGTCATTTTATAATTACACCCTTATCATATTAATACATATAATCAATATTAATTAAAATGCATTAAAAACATGTATTTCTTTGTACAAATTACATATTTGGAATAGTCTCATCGATAACTTCAAAACAAGCCCAATATTTAGTATTTTTTGGAAATTAAGGGGTCGTTAACCTACACTTACCCGGTAAGTGCTTATCGGTAAAATTCAACACTACCGTTTATTTACGGATAAGATTTGAGTCCACAAAAACGACATTGTGTGTAATAATTTACCCGGTAAGCGCTAACTGTAGTAAGAGTCATCGCCATCACTTATCAGGTAAGATTGGCGGTCCTTGTTTTCGCTCTTGTCGGGTAAGATTCTTGGTATTTGTCATACTCATCCGATAAGGTAATGTGACTTAGTAAGAGCGCTTACCCAAGTAAGCATTTGGTAAACGGCCTCTAAGTATGTTGTTATTCATCATAATACATAAACCTTTTATATACATTATTTTTTAATACTTACATTTTATAGTTATTTAAAGAAGAGAAAAGTTAAGAAAAACCCTTCGAGCTTCCCCATTTTGAATGATTAAGTCACTGTACCTATTTTAAATAAATAAAATAATTTATCTTTCTCCTTCATCGATACCTTCACAACCAACAGTACTTTTAGATTTAGTTATATTATTAAACATCATAAATACGTAAATTTTTATCTTTATATCATACTCTTGAATATATTGATCTAATGGAATGATAACATTATAATTGTTATTTTATTTAATAAAATAATGAATAATCAAAATTTTAAAAATTGGTACAATTTTAATAAAATAATAATCCTAAAGATTTTTATCTTTTTTATTTACGATAATAATACCATAAAATTTTGGTAGTAAAGGCTTGAATTCAACTGAATTACTTAATTAAAGTGTTTTAAGATATTTTAAAATATCGAATATAATTAGTCTTATTTAAATAAACTAGAAAAGTATCTGTGCAATGCAGCGAGACACATCGCGATTTTAATATTCTATTTTATTATTTGTCTCTGTCGATATTGTAATACGATTTTATGTGTTTTTAAGAAAACAATAATGATTTTATTTTTGAATAAAATATAAATTTGAAAATATCATAAAAAATTGAAAAAAATATATATATCAATGTTAATATCAAATCAACTATTTAAAAGTTCTCATTTTTTAATGTAATTTCTTTAATTTA